GAGTACGCTCGACCTAGTAGTAGTGTATGTGTATGTATTGTACGTCGTATGACCCAGTTGATTACTTCTACAGTGTAAAGAAAGTGGCTTACTCTATCTATCAACCAATATGTGAGACAACGCAAGGGCAATTTTGTATTTCGTTTGTAGGAACAAAGCTGTGGAATGATCTCCCAGATGAAATTAGATTAAAAACATCGAGGTTATCTGTCCACCTACCTTCTATGTAAATGACGTGGGCCTTCGTTTTTCCTTTTATATTACTTGTCTTCCTTTTATAATATGTGAAGAGTTTCATTCCAAAAGGAGCCAAATCCACTTTGGGTACTTCTGAGTAAATTGCCTTTTTTATTTCTCCACTTTCCCTTTAGCCATGTATACCTTCATGTTGTTATATATGTTAAAGGTGTCACCCTGCATGGACCTGATTATCTGCCAATAATGATAAGAAAAAAATCTTCCCTTCGGCTTTTCTGATGTTTACTAAATTTTTTGATTTTTTATTTTCGTGGATTTAGCTCCTTTTGGAATGAAACATGTTATTGTACCTAAAAAATAAAAAATAAATCATATTTTCTCAATAAAGTCACTGAAATTTTATTCAAATTTAGCAGCAAACCTTTCCTTTTAAATAATAATAGTGAAATCACACATAAATATAACCTTTCGAAAAGAAAGTAAACAACATTATTACAGTTTCATTCCAAAAGGAGCTAAATCCATTCAATTCCAAAAGAAGCTAAATCCATGTTTCATTCAAAAAGGAATTACTAAATCCACATTTTTTTTTTGGCACATATCGCACGACAACCAAATGCCCTAAGATGTTGATACCCACTTTGATAGAAAAATAAGGTTTTACAAAATGGAAAAATACTAGAAGAGAAAAGGTAAGAAAGAGTAAAGACGGATTGAGGACGGTAAACCCCAAGAGACTCAAAAGATCTACCCCAGAATCCTCTCACCGGCACCAGAGTTGCCTAGGCCAATGATGGCCGAGAAGATTGCGCAATGTACCGCGCCGGTCTGGCAGGAAGGTGCCAATTGCGGTGAGGGGTTTTCATGGACCAGTAGATCTGAGATTATATTATCCAAAAAAAAGAGATGAATATGAATTGACAAATAGTACCAAAAATAGAAGAAAAAAAAGAAATAAAGTGAAAGGCGTAAATATTCTAAAAAAGAATGAAACGCCGATAATACCAAACAACAACAACAACACAAAATCTAAAAATTTGATAGAAATCAGAAATAACTGGTGGATTTTTTGTCTTATCATATGTTATAGGTCCAGAGCGACACCTTTAACATATATAACAACATGAAGGTACATGGCTAAAGGGAAAGTGGAGAAATAAAAAGAAATAAATTAAAAAAAATATTAAAAATTGTTGTATCAGTATACTATAATGAATAACAGTAGTGAATTAATTTAACATCTTACTTGATTCATACTTGTCCATAATGCAGTGTTTTTCAGTATTCTTATTTTGGTACTGCATGCAATTGTAAAGTTTAAAAAAAAAAGTGATTGTAACTTCTTGTAAATAAGTTGTGTTCTACAGTGCCTGTGTATTGCATGACCTACGTCAGTACGTGATAACTTGTAAATGTGTAAAGACATAAGATTTTAATATAATTATAGTAATGCTAAAATGAAGATACATAACATATTTTTATGGTGTACATTGAAAGCTTTATTCGGCCATAACTAACAGTTAAATTTACACAACATTATTGAGATGAATACAAATTATAATTGCTGAACTGAAGGCAATATTTAAACGTGATGTTGATTTCAACCATTGCATACAAACAGATCATGTGTATTAAAAAAGGCACATTTTTATTTAGCATCTATCGCTATGACAACTTTAACCGTCGTCATTAAGAAGGAGCAATATACTTTATTTGTATACCACCATGTCTTGTTACTTATTAGTTACTGCTTATTTATATACATCTTATCTTGTGTCTTTCATAAAAACTTGACATACTCTATAGGCAATGTGTAGATAAGTTTACCAAAGAAAAGTATCTATAACAGTAATGTTTCTACGCGCTTGACAAATATACTATTACCCCGGTCATTTGATTCAGTGCTTGCCCGCACACAATGTTTTGACTAGTACGTGATCATACAAATTTTGCCGAGAAACTGCCTACTAATTGATATATTTGGTAAATTATTATATCTATTTGGACTTGATAGATATAACGCATGTGTCGCGCACTTGTGCGTAGTCCCATATACATCTTTCTGTGTACAGTGCTTGTAACTTTACCAAGACTGGGCCAATTTTTTTATCATTTCGATGATTCTAGAACCTTGCAGTACACACCAAGACTTATATGCTAGATGATCAACCTTTTCTGATCGATTCCACAACAATCCTTTCACAATGCAGTCGCATGACCATAACTGGTTTTATCTTTTAAGTTTCACATCTTACTTTATATATAAATGCTTTAAAAATTGTCTGAGTGATTCTTTTCCTTAATGTGTACGAGTATACATGTATACATACTCCATATCGATCTCAAATCCTGAATCATATCAGTTTCAGCACAAAATTAAGTATAGTTAGGTACATATATGTCTTTCATCTTCCCTAATGCTCGACTATGAATATCACCTCAAGTGATTAACATCCAACATAAGGTTTTTCAAAAAAATAGCACAGACATTTCAAAACTGGTCATGTCCTATACGCACACAAAAGACAATTCTGCGTTGTGTGTACTGAGTTTCATATGAATCGATCAAACTACTTCCAATAGTTTGCTCACATACTTATTTTACACACTGCACATGCATTGAGTTTTATACTGTTATTATAATGCCTCATCAAAGATACCAAAACTATAAAATTGCTAAAACTTGGAAAGAATATGCTCCACAAGATTATTAAAACAAAATTGTATTCTTTGTGCAAAGCTTGGTTACCATGGAGGTACCTTAACAGACAGACACAACAAATGTGTCTTGCACACCCTCGGGTCAATCGGTATACCAAGTTTTATTACAATTTGCAAAAAAATTGGAAAAAATTTGACCCAGTTTTTTACAATAGACCAACAGAAAGACTCGCCTGCCCAACTGTATCCTTATTCCTTTATACACCCTTTCAAACTACAAAGTAGTTACAGGCAGCATGTCTCTTGATGGTATAACCTTGAACCGCAATACTTTGGCGTTGAGCTGATTCACGTTCATTGATTCAAATGATGCATGAAACCAACTGTTTTGCTGTCTTGTGATCATTTCTCTTTTTCGCTTGCATTATTTTAGTCACATTGATTGCATTAAACAAAAAATGAAGACTATTTACAATAAGATATTCTACAAATCTTTCTTCTGTCCATGTTGATTTTCAACAGGTTCCGAAGTATAGTCTTTTTCATGATCGACTGTCACCTCAGTTACATGCACAGTCACTAAAACCAAACACATTGTTGACTCATGGTTTGACCTCTTGGCTGTAAATTTTATAATTACTACCGTAACTTCTTCAAGGAATATAGGTTGCCAAATAGATACAAATTGAAATATCCACCATTTCCACATGAGCAAGCACTGATTTTATCACAAATTATGAATTGTATAAATCACATAGAGCTTTTATACACTGATGTCACAATTTGTCTTTTATATTCCTACATTTCTTCCATTTGTAAACTTGCCAACCTCTTATTGTAATACAATATACAAGTGCCAAGCATGGTGGCTAATCTAGCAACAATAACAATTTATTTCTGGTACATGTATATCATGTGTTATGTGATTTTTTTTCTCCAGATAACCACATCCCCATGATCCCCAGGGACACTCTAGTATCAAGTTTGGTGGTATTTTGTCAAAGGGTCTCTGACATATCAAGAATACATGCTCGTAATGCTAAGCCATGCAATCTTTTACCTCCGGACCACAAAATGTTAAGTTCCAACCAATCCTCAAGATAGCCTAAAAACATGCCACATGGACAAATTAACCCTTACTGTACTGGGCTATTTTGAGCACCCACTGACTGGGGGGGGGGGGGGGCCTGGGAGGCCCCCCCCCTATGATCTCGGCCGTCGATTGTCCGATGAACACGAAAATTTGCATGTTTGTAGATATTTACGTAAGGAACAAGATGGTATAATTAGTTTCTTACGAATATGCAAATTTTTGTCGTTAGCCTAATTAATTATGCAAAATGCGCTAATTTTATGCATTTTACAGAAAACGTGTCAAACTCCACTTTTTTAATGTTGAAACTCATTATTCATATGAAACTTCTTTTCTAACACAAAAAAGTTATTTTAATGTAATTAATAATGATAATTTATGCAAATTTTGATGCAATTTTTTTTTTTTTGATGACATGCGCATACTAATTGTTATGTAACGCCTTACAGGTATATCCGATTTCGACGAAAATGGTATCAAAATGTGCGTAAGACTTGAGGGAAAAAAGTCATGAAAAGACAATTCAAAATTCGAAGCGGTTGCGGCGCAATCTCCGAAAATGTCGAGGGGGGGGGCCTCCCAGGCCCCCCCCCAGTACAGTAAGGGTTAAATCGAGGCGATTAAGAGTCTTGCATGCAATCATGCAACAATGAACCTCATTTGACCTTTGACCTACTTATGTGACCTTCAACTCCAGAATATCATGGAGGCCAATAAAGGGCATCTACCAATCAAGTATGGTTACAAACAGATGCAGGGTTGGAAAGTTAGCAACCCTAATTGATTTTTGCAGGTAAGATTTCACATTAGACTTCATTCAAATTTGTGTACAGTCACAGAGGATGGACGGAAGGATGCCATTTGGATCCCTTAGTCTCTGCTCGAAAAAAAGCAGTTCTCAAGTCAGACAATCCCAAATGTTCACTACAGAGGATTACATGGATTTCTCTAATCGGCCTAGTCTCCTGGCTAGGATCACATCAACTTGTGGTGGAGGAAATGGTGCAAGCCGGGGCCTTGTGTGTCTAGGGTCATCAGGGTCATCAGGTCATCGAACAGCCTTCGAGAACAGTGGTCCTTGGTCCTGTTCTCTGCGTTCCAGTATCGCACCGATGAGTCCTTGTACATACATGTAGGGGTAGGTCTTGGGGACCTTCTCCTTCCGGGCCACGTAGTTGTTGGCACGCTTTGACCATACTGCAACATATCTGTATCATAAAATAAAAGAACATGCAAAATGTAACAAGTTGCATTATATACACACTCATTCTTGTCAATTGGAAATGATTCATATCTCTTAAAGATAAACTTGAGTTCTGGTAAAAAAAGAAAATGAATTCTCACAGAATCTAACGAAACTTACACTGAATGTTCAAGATTACAAATAAATGTCATGTGCCAAACAATTTTGGAAGAAAATCAGGGTAATACTAGCCCCGACAGGCCGACACCATGTGTGTTGTCCCATATACATCTTTCTGTGTAAGTGATATACTTTACCAAAACTCTGCCAAATTTATGATGATTTTGATGACTCCAGAACCTTGCATTACACACCAAGTATATTATTACACTGAATCCAAGTCCGCATTTAGGGTCCAAAATCAGCAGCATGATTGACAAACCATCAGCTTACAGTCCGTCATCTACATAATTTAGATGTGCGTCGTGTACAGGGACAACTTCTTTAGATGACGTCATATTTTGGCGATTTAAAAGGGGCGTTCCCAGGAAGGACAATTAGATATTTAATAATTTCCCCAAAATTGATAAATTTCATGGGAAAGAACTGCCAATTCGGATTGCCCTGTCCAACTACACAGGGAAAACAAAAAATCATGTTTTTTTTTTTTACTCCACCCACTTTGGATTGCCTTGTCCATCTAAAAAAAAATGTACAAATAAAAATAGGAAAAACAAGAAAGAAAAGAAAACCTTTTTTCTTTCTTTCTAATTTCCACTCACTTTGTATTGCCTTGTTCATCAATCTGGTCGGGCCTGTCCTTGTGTGCCATGTAGTCGATGACCGCAAGCAAATTCCTTGCCCGGTTTGCTGGGTAGCTGGATGGATAAGACAAACAATTGGTATTACCACTACCATGATGAATGAATAGTAAATGCTTTAGACAAATCTCAGACTCATTGGCCCGTAGTCACAAAGGAGGTTTGTAGGAGGTTTGTACAAACCATGGTTTGACGATGGTTTACATCTATGGAATGCTGCTCGCATACCGTAAATTGTAAATTAACATTGTTAACAAGTATGGAGTTTACATTCCTTCTCCATCAGTTTACAAATGGCATTCCATAGATGTAAACCTTGGCCAAACCATGGTTTGTACAAACCTCCTTTGTGAATACGAGCCATTCACTTCAGTTCTGGATTTGTGTTGTAAATTATTGACTTTTAATTAAAGGTAGTTACATTTCCCTGCTACAACCACTCCAACTTGACTTAACATCAGGTACCGACACAAGTACGATACAAAGTCTGCTGTTTCAAGACTCTGCATGCATCCAAAAGTGATTTCAGCATTTATATAGATGTCATTCATAATTTCTCATTAACTTTGCTATTTGCTTCAAAATATGATATCGTAACTGTAACCGTACTGTAATGATATGTTTCAACTTTTCCACAATCTTACTTCAAACATACAAAATGATACTAAAAATACTTACTCAAAGGAATACCGCTTGGAAGCATACATCAGTATATGGTTGTGGAAACACTCGAGCATGCTGGTGTGCCTAAGGAATTATGAAAACAAAATAAAAACTGATATAAATGATAGGGCATTTCATTATTTTCATACCACAAAATCAATATTGAAAATCCCATGTATTACACATGAGCAAATAAGATGCATTATCTTGACCTGCTGATATGTCCCAATTTTATAGGTCATAACCGAAAAAGAGCTCAATCTTGCAAACATGTACGTAATGAACGCATTCTCATTAAATTCCTCTCAATTTACAGAGCCTTTCGTACATGTATACAGAATCCTACCTGAAGCGAGCAAATCAGCAGAGTAGGCCAAGTTCTCCATGAATTTGCGGTCAAAGGTGACTTGTACTATTCACCTGCTAATTCCCCTACTGCTGCTTGGAATTTCTTCGCTGGGGATGGATTGTGTTGTCTGTTCTTCATATCTGTAAAAAGTGAAGAAACGAAAGTCATTCACAAAGTAAAAAACATTCAGATTTTAAATCACCAAAAGAAATTATTTTGAAGATGGCATTCTCTAATAATTATCACAGCTAGCCAGATTTGGAATTTGCATGACTAATAACTGATGCATTGGTTCTCTGTCATGTATGTGAAGTTGAGACACTCTTTGGTAGAGATAAATATAGATGAGACAGTCACATCTCAAGCAAGCTATAGTATAACCTTGTCGACTTTTAAAAAGAGCAGGATGTTTACCCGGTTGACTAGCCCTGCACGTCATCATTACAAAGAAAACTGCAGTTGTAACGAGGGACATTAAAGGTAGGGTCTATTACAAAGTTTTGGGAAATTTTGAAAATTGGGTGGATAGTGATTCTTTACAATTTTGATATATTTGGATGCCCCTGTGGAAGTATTATAAGCACTAGAAAATTTAGCTCCTAAAACACTTCTGCTTTCGAAAAAACTTGAATATAAAAATTTACCGGTGCTCCCGGTAAATTTTGATAAATTTAAAATAGCGCCTACGGTCGTACAACGGTAGCTGCTACCATAAAAATCCCGGAATATGTAGTTGTGATATATAATTTCAAAAAGGTAATAGCCAATCGGTCAATTGTAGCTTGTTGTATAGCTGAATTAATATATTGACCTTGAGAGAGAGTTATAGTATACCCCATAAAGAGATTATTATTTACAATTTCATCACTTTAGACTCGATTTCAACGCGACAACATTCACTGAATATTGTAGGATCGCATATGCTTCCAATATTTTCATTTGAACCAAATTCATCCGGAGGTCTAGTGGAGCCAGACGTAGTCTCAGTGGAACAACCGACGATATAGAGACTGAAGCTTTCGGTCTAGATCTACTGTAGACCTAGGCTAGACTATCAATATCATATGATTCATGAAATCTGAATTAAAAATCCAAGGCAAGAGATAACAAAACGTAATTTCTTAAATTTGCCGATTCCATGCATCTAGTCTCTAGACTAGATCAAATTAAAACGGTAGGCCTACCCAATGCAGTGGGGCGTATATCATTTCAACTTACCTCTCAGTGAGCTGGCATGTCTATTGCATCCTCTAGACTCGGCAACGAGAAGGCCGCCTGCAGCTCGCGAAGTTTCTCCGCCGTACCCTGGCCTTGTTCACAGCCACTCCCGCGCCTCCTCTGGGCCGGATGGTCGAGCTGCCATTGCTTGTTTCTCTCCTTCCTCTTACCGTCTTACTTAGTCTTATTCCGATTTAGCGTAGCCTTAGCCTTGTCCTTAGGCTTAGCACTAGCTGAGTCCGAGTCGGCCATCGTCCGTGACCTCGAGCTCCTTTTCCAATCTCGATCTCGTTATCGTATTTCAATCAAAGCTTGTCTGGACTGTAGCTGTCTATTTAGCGTTCGATCGGCGCCGGTGATAATCTGATATGAGCTGTGTGTGTTACGTTATACTTTACGCGTATACAAAATACGTGAAAGCAGCGTATTGGAATTGATCAGCTGTACTGTATTACTAGCGCGCGGTCGATCGGATACCCGCCTGCTAGCTACCTGTATGTACTGTACGTACCAACGAACTCTAACACTCCTTGTAAATACGCTGGTTGTTAAATGACATAGAGGGAGCTAAACACGTAAATTCAAAAAATAAACCGTCGAAAGTCAAAAGTGATGTCCGGACGTCAAACACTTTTATATAATGTTTTGAAAGCAAATTGCACAACAATTAGAGCATTTGATTTGGAATTATTATCATCTCCCATGTTTTTTTCGATGATCTTTCATATGGTACTGAAATAAACCAAATTTGTTTTGGAGGGGCACTTTGGAAATTACCAATACTCAACTATACCTTTAACATAAATTAAATGTCCCACATAACAATATACACGGTTGAGAATCTTGTCGAAAATATAGAAGGAAAAAAAGCCAATCTTAATCTTAAAACAACGATTTTAAATTTCTCAAGTTATTGCCAATCTAAGGACTTGATTTTGTTGGTAGTTCCTGACATCAAATGTAATATATTAATAAATTAAAAATATCAAAGGTTTTTGCAGAAGTTTTCGCCCTTTCTGACATATTTTTTAGGGAATTGAATCAAAAGTTATTGAGCCAAACCACAAATTGTGGTATAGCTGTCTCGAATGGTAAGTGTACCAATCATCTAACATATGTACAAAATCAACCTATACACAATTATCTTACAAAATCTCCTTCCAGCAGTTATATTTTAAGCTTATATCTTAAATATAATATTACCTTATGAAACTTATAAGATACAAAACAAAGTAACATTTGATGATTTGTACACTTGGAAGTTTATCAAACACCACATATTATTTTGCTCTTCGTGTTATGGTTTCTACGTCACGATACTACATTCAAGATATGAGATTCGAATATTACTTCTCCAGAGCTAATTGCATGTTGAAAAATAACACTCCTAATAAAATAAAATGATGTGCAGTGAAACGTAATTTAGCGAAGCGACAACCTTTATAGAAAGACCACCTGTCTATAAAGACTACCTGCCTTTTAAGATTATTATCACTGTCTCCCTTACATGGTCCTTAGGTTAATCCAATAAATCATATACAAAATGTGTACAATCAAACTAAATCACATGTACTAAGTTTCCTGTAACTTTCCTGTAACCTATGAAAGTAGTTCTGGAGTTTACTTAAAGGGATCCGGTTATTTTGTCTCAGATTCTGAAACAAAATCCTGTATTTAGCTCATACTGCAATAATAATTATAAACTTTCAGGTCAGTCAGGAACCCCGTGACTTTTACAAGCCGATCGCCTGCATGATTATCAAAATATTTACGATTAGAAATCGAAACCGAATTTTGCGTTTTCCTAACGGTTGTCATAACACTACAGTCTATTGGGCGAACGAGTATGGTTAAACCGGTCACTCAAAGATTTTTACTTTTTTTGAGGATCTTCTTGATCATTTTGAAGCGCAATTTTTGTTAAGGGCTTCAATATTGCACTATTTGACAGACACTGATAACACGTAGGGACGTGCATCTCAGATTAAACATTGTTAAACGATGCCTTTAAAGCTCCATAAAGATCTATGTCATTCATTGTCACACAATATCTGCAATGGGATAATGTCATACAGATACATTTCTCATGTAGACTTTTAATTCCTCTCATAATGTCATCATTCAATGGCTAGCATGCATCATTGACGATGTATACTAACCAAGATATAAGCACATTGAGTCTTCAACATGATACATCGTACAGAACACATCTATGTTTGAATATTAATAGATAGCTAAACCTGTCTTTTCATAGAGCCTAAGAGGCTAACGACCTTTAATGATCACTTTTATGTCATGTTTAACTGCAAGACCAACATTATTCAACCGGATTCAATGTCAAAAGATCATATCAATTTTCCGGAAGCAACAAGCCATTCCAGTACGTGAGAATGTTTGTGAAGTCTGTTGTAATCACTCGTCGAACAAAAATCGACCTTGTTAAACTTCCTTTAAAAAATATTGCGCAATCACTTTTTTCCCCTATGGTGTTATAGCCTTTGTCACTTATGCATGTTGAAATCTTGATATACTTCGCTAATGATATTCCTGTGGCGTTGGGTACACATTGAAATGTGAATACGAATATTGCTGTGCTGTGGACTTTACTTCGCTCATTCCTGTGCTACTATACGTTTATCAAGGGGTAAGTTTATCATTCTCATGTTTTTTTTTTATAGAACCTGCAGTATAACATTCTTACATTAAATTTACAGGGAAAAATAATACTAATTGTATCTATACATTTGTTAGCATAACATTTTCTACAACTACACTACACCTAGTACATAGTGACCACTAAGGTATATGCAAAGTGAATTCCAGTCATAGAGATGCCCTTATATACAACAGGTGTATGGAATGGCTAATAACCAGGGGTTATGGAGAGAAACATGTATATTTAGACCGTAGACAAGTGCGTTATTATGTAATACTTTTGTAATGTACGTAACATTTTATTTTGTTAAAGATAAAGCTGAGTTCTGGTATAAAAAAAAGGATTCTCACATAATCAAACGAAACTTACACTGAATGTTCAAGATTACTAATAAATGTCATTTGCCAAACAATTTTGTTAGAAAATGTATACTGGCTGAGTAATGAGCATAGAAAGATTAGGAAATCAAGGTTAGTAGCCCCGACACCACTTGTGTAGTCCTATATACATCTTTATGTGAACAGTGCTTGTAACCTTACCAAGACTGGGCCAAATTTATTATCATGTTGATGATTCCAGAACCTTGCAGTACACACCAATATATATATATGCTATAATTATGATCAACCTTTTCTGATCGATTCCACAACGTTTGTCATAATATTGGTTTAACCAGTGGCGCAGGTACGGGCTGAGAAGGACGTCAATCGAATGAGAGATGATGGAAAAGGGGGAATTCAAATAACGTGAGATCATTTAAGGAGATAGATTACTTTACAAATACTCTTAACAAATTATAATATTATGTGAATCAGTAAGAGGTGTATTAAAATATTATCATAAAATGCGTTTCGCCCTTAAGGTAGCAAAGAAGAAGAAAAAAAGAAGATAGGAGTGAAAGATAGAAAACATATAGGAAAAAAAACATAGAGAGAGAGTATGTATGTGTGTCTATTTCTCTTTAATATGCACAGTTTGTTCCACTCTAAAGGAGCAAGGGGTATATTTACCTCTCGACCTGGTCAATCTTCTTCCTCATTTTGGGGACCTTTTTACGTTACATGTTTAAACCCCTTATGCCACACCCTACCAATATTAAGTGTCCATTTGTATGTCTTTTCATCTTTTGTTACCAAATTAATTTCACTAGCATTAAAGGCATTATTGTTCTATCTACCTGGAACAAAGAAAAAGGACATAGACAACTAGTTTTGCAATTGGCCATGGTATTTATTAGTTGTAATATAGAAACTTTTCATCGTCATTAGACTAGTGGTATAACAAATATTTCAAATGAAAATAGTCTGTTAGCCTCACAATGAACAGCAGTTCTCTGGTTTGAGACACGTAGCGTTAAAATAATAAAAACAAATCAACGCAGTTCTCTGGCCTGAGACACGTAGCGTTCCCAAAATAAAAACAAATCGACGCAGTTCTCTGGCCTGAGACACGTAGCGTTCACATTAACACTTTATTGCCTAAAACTGAGGATAACGAAAGCAAAGGCCTTATTGGTCATCCTCCGCCTACAAGCAAAGTGTAAACGGGGTGTAAACAATACTTATTGCAATAAAATGACCCCAATTAGATTAAAACAAATCAACGCAGTTCTCTGGCCTGAAACACATAGCGTTCACCTAATAAAATAAAACCAAAACAACGCAGTTCTCTGGCCTGAGACACGTAGCGTTCACATAATAAAATAAAACCAATTCAACGCAGTTCTCTGGCCTGAGACACGTAGCGTTCACATAGTAAAAACAAATCAACGCAGTTCTCTGGCCTGAAACACATAGCGTTCACCTAATAAATAAAACCAAATCAACGCAGTTCTCTGGCCTGAGACACGTAGCGTTCACATAATAAAATAAAACCAATTCAACGCAGTTCTCTGGCCTGAGACACGTAGCATTCACATAGTAAAAACAAATCAACGCAGTTCTCTGGCCTGAAACACATAGCGTTCACCTAATAAATAAAACCAAATCAACGCAGTTCTCTGGCCTGAGACACGTAGCGTTCACATAATAAAATAAAACCAATTCAACGCAGTTCTCTGGCCTGAGACACGTAGCATTCACATAGTAAAAACAAATCAACGCAGTTCTCTGGCCTGAGACACGTAGCGTTCACATAATAAAACCAAATCAACGCAGTTCTCTGGCCTGAGACACGTAGCGTTCACATAATAAAATAAAACCAAATCAACGCAGTTCTCTGGCCTGAGACACGTAGCGTTCACATAAACACTTTCTTTCCTAAAACTGAGGATAACTAAAGCAAAGGCCTTATCGGTCATCCTCAGCCTACAAACCAAGTGTAAATGGGGTGACAATACTAATTGCATTAAAATTTCCCATCATTGGCTCGAAGCCTGTTATCTTGCAAACTGGTATGTTCAACATGTGCAAATTAAAGACAATTCCGCGGTTTGGCGGTCAAAATTGTAAGATTTTCTGCCTTAGGACAGGATTCAACAGTTTCATAAAGTACTGTTACAGAAGCACCCAAAATTCATATAGTACACAGTCATGACGATACATGTAGCATTGAGTATTAACGTATGACGTCATAATGTCTAAGGTTTCAAGGTTGCTGGTTCCGATCAATGTTGTGCTTAACAATGGTGTCACCGTGTGGTGAACACACCGGCGTCAAGCACTGCCCTGCTCCGAATGCCCTGCTCCGTGCGTTGCTTGAATGATTTTACAGTGAAC